ACAATCGCTTATATATATCAATACACCTAAAGACGTGTAAAACAACGCCTGAATGGTTATGATCTGAGATACAATGAGTTGTGGATCCCATTGAGTGTATCTGAAGTGACCACTCATTGTCACCAATGAATCAACTGATTAACTGATCCGATAAGTCATCCAATGTTTACAACACTTGATTGAAACATCTCTGAAATGACGTCCCATTTAAATGCCTCACGAGTTGGTCAATGACTCACTGTTTGTGGCACTTCTTCGTTGGTCTCACAGTCTCTCCAATGAGACGACAATTTCATGTCTAATAAGATGTGACCCAAAGAGACGACGGACTCAATGACTGTGAGAGCAATGAGTGATGACTGAAATGTTTGGTTAATTGTAATGAAAATTAAGTGAAAACTGCAATCAACTGACGAAATGTATGGACAGAGTGTGGGACGTGTTGTCCATCAGATGTCGCACTGAAGAGACATTTGTCGTCAATTTCGTCCATATTTTCAGTCGTGATCTCAAAGTAAACGAAAGCAAAGGATTTGGTTTGAGATTACATTAGAGGACATCTTCAGCGAAATGTCACTACAAGTGCTTCATCTGCCGAAAGGCATGAAAGCGATGCTTTTAGTACGAAAGAAGATGATGGGATCCATTGGAACCGTTGGTTGCAATGAATATCACGGGAGATCTAAGATCGGCAAACGAGAGGTCGTGGGCTTTGGTCTGAACGGATCGTTCACGTACTTCGACGCCCCGGACATCCCGATGCCGGCCATCCGCTTCAGGGAACCCAACACTGAGATCACCGCTCTTCGCGAGAAGGAGAAGGGAAACTGGAAAGAGCTGACCGTCGATGAGAAAAAGAAGTGTAAGCATTGCCACCACTGTATCTGTGGCTCATATCTAATGGTCTGATCTATGGTATGACTTCCGGTCCAGTGTATCGGTACAGCTTCTGTCGGACGTACGCCGAGATGGAGGCGCCCACCGGCGAGTGGAAGTCCATCACCGCCGGAGTGCTGGCGATCGTGGCCTCTGCCTTCTGGCTCTATGTGTTGCTCAAGAAATACGGTAATTATCTCACGAATGGGTGTCCAATGGGCTGTAATGTACTGATTGTGTGTTTGGTTGACCTGACGGTGCAGTGTATGGGCCGATGCCTGAGTCCACTTCCCTGGAGTGGCGTAAGAAGCAGAGGGATTGGATGATACTCTGGAAAGTGAACCCAATTGAAGGCATTTCATCCAAATATGACTACGAGAACAACAAATGGAAGGATTAGCCGAAGACTCGACTCAATGAAAGCAGAGCTAAAGATTTAATTAATTGTTTTCTGTATGTCTGTAATAATCCTTATATGAGTTCCACTTATTTGACTCTATGTTACGAATAAATGTATTGTTATTTTAGTTATAATAATAAGTAGTAATTGAAACAAAAGCCGTTTTTATCGCAAAAACGTATTTCACTTAAAGCTTTTGATTAGATAAGAGCATTACTGCCATTAAATGCAAAGTTAAATATATTATTCAAAATTAATTTTTAATCAATTATTTAAATATGTTTTTATTTGAATGGAGAAAAATAAATACGAATATTTGAAATTGTCTAATAAATAGTTTGATTGGTGAAACAAAAAAAGCTCCGATGCCGGGAATCGAACCCGGGCCTTCTGGGTGAAAGCCAGATATCCTAGCCACTAGACCACATCGGATTGGTTGTTCACCATTGCCTGTATATCGGAGTCAATTGTATGACAGTATACGACACTTGTATGAAGTGATGGAAACAGAATTGATTTCTAAATTCATCTCAAGTTAGACACTATTTGTTTGTTTGGGTTTTGTTTTTACTGAAAGTGTGTCGGTTTATACGAGTTATATGTTAAGCACTTTTTCCATCATATATATAGCCATAGGACTTGTTTATTACAAGTGACTGTTTGCATGAATGCCAACAACTGATTGCTATTCAAGAATATACACACTATTCCTTACGCTGTACTGCAAATGAATTAATATTCAGTGCACAGCCTTTCGCCAGTATATCACAATATTGTCATTAATATTGCGTCAATTTGTTTGTTTGTCATTGACTTAACTCTCATGTGATCTCAAGAATTAATTAATTGAAAACATTTTTACGAGTTTTAGTGTTTGATAGTGTGGTGTGAATGGTGTAGAGTTCGCCCACATTTGCCAAACACTTGAAAGTATGGCAAACAAACAGAATATATGAATATATGACAGTCTTTTATGAAATGAATGCAATGTTTGCACTCAATTGCATAAGTCATAAGTCTGTATACATTTGTTGTGTTCATAAGCCATATACCAAATTACAGTGATTACCAGATTTTACCAGGTTTACTTGTATTACAATCCTTTGTACTCAATATTAGCGTGTATTGAATGTCAAGGCATCACAATCTTATGAAACATTGTAATTCAAACCGATTCCACATATTTCCAGCAATAAATTGACTTGCTTATTTTTTATAATTATTCACAATGAATTGAAATATTTATTTTGAAACAAATCACCATTATTTGCAAATTACAAGAATATCTGGTAATCATTAGACAATCAATACTATGAATACTATTAATACTACATTNAATTGACTTGCTTATTTTTTATAATTATTCACAATGAATTGAAATATTTATTTTGAAACAAATCACCATTATTTGCAAATTACAAGAATATCTGGTAATCATTAGACAATCAATACTATGAATACTATTAATACTACATTTGGATTAATATTTAATATAATATATTATATTATGCGTCAAGAGTTGGCAAAACAGCAAATCATGTGATTTTTATTGACAAATAACAAGAATATGTGAAACAGTGTTGATATTCTGGATATGAATACTACTTTTTATAGTCAATAATACCTTTTCATAAAATATTTGTTTCTTTTTCTACTCGAAAATCCTTTTAAATAAATACTTTAAAGAAAGAGAAATACATTTAATGAACTGATAGTATACACGAATGTATAATAAATGTGATGAATGGCAAGACCTGTACCTACGAGGCAGTGGTGGATGTGAGCCCACACTAAGACAGCACCGCCACAGAGCACCGCCACTACAGTGCTGTTACAGTGTGTGCCTA